TCCCTGACAAGATATTTTCTCAGTGCAATTTGCCTTTAGATTTCCTGACTGTTGGTGCCAAGAGTGTTGCTTGTGGAGCCGAGCAAGTTATAATTGTTAACAACCTCAATCTCTTCTCCGTCTATCATGGTGCTGCCAATTGGCCCAGTGGTGAGAATCTTTGTCTTCTTGATGTTGAGCTTCAATCCCTATTGGAAGATTACAGTCATTGACCTTCTGGAGCAAATGCTTCAAGTCCTCCTCAGTTTCAGCAAGCAAGGTTGTGTCATCTGCATAATGTACACTGTTGATGAGTTTTCCTCTATCCTTGATGCCACATTCTTCCTTATAAAGCCCAGCCTCCCAGGTAATCTATTCTGCATACAGACTGAAAAGGCATCAAGACAGGATGCATCCCTTTTCTGATTTTGAACCATGCAGTGGTGCTCCATTTTAAGGACTGCTTCCTGGTCCAAGTATAGGTTTCATGTAAGCACAATTAAGTGTTCTGGGATTCCCATTTTCTTCAAGGTTAGCCACAATTTGTTGTGATCCACACAGGCAAATGACTTTGCATAGTGGATGAAACACAGACAAGACATTCTTCTGATACATTCTGCTTTATGCCAAAATCTGACATTGGTGATAATGTCTCTCTAGTACCATGATCTGTTCTAAACCCAGCTTGTATTTCTGGTAGTTCTTTGTCAATGTACTGTTCCAGTTGTTTCCGGATAATCTTTAGCACGAGATATTATACACAAACAAATCTGCACTAGAGGAAATGAACAAAAACTTAGACACAGCCTGAAGTAGACTATCTGACAGACCCATCATAAAATAAGAAACTGAAAAACTTCCAACAACAAAATCCCCAGTTCAACATAAAGTATTTCAGAAAACAGAAAAAGACTGAATAATTCCAGAATTATTGTATGAAGCAAACATATCCTTGATATCAAAGACACTACCAAAATAGAAAAGTATAGCCACTATCGTTCATGAACATAGACACAAAAATCTTCAACAAAATCCTGGCCAATTGAATCTAATAGTATATAAAAAATATTCATCATGACCAAATAGGATTCATAATAGGTATGTAAGGGTGGTTCAAAATAAGCAAAACAACCAATATAATTCATCACATTAATAAAGCAGAGAACAAGAAACATCTATCAATGGATGCAGAAAAAGCCTTTGACAATACCGCTTCTGATTAAAACACTCAAAATAGGAACAGAAAGGAATTTACTCAATATAGTGAAAATTATATACACAAAACCAAGAGCCCACCAACATCTCTCTCTTAATGGAGAAAGATTATAAAACATTGCACTTGAGAACAGGAATAATGCAAGGCAAGGCTGTTCACTATCACTACTCCTATTTCAATATGATATTGGAAGTCTTTTTGATAGCAACAAGAGAAGGAAATAAGAGGCATTCAATTTGGAAAAGAGGAGATAAAACAATTCCCATAAGCAGCTAATATAACATCTGCATATAGAGACTGTACCAAGAAAACTCTAAAAGATTCAGCAGAAAACTGTTGGACATATTCTATCAATTCAGCAGAGTAGCAGGACACAAGGTCAATATAAAAAAAAATCAGTTGGATTTCTCTACAGGAACAAAAAGAACAGAGAAAAAGAGCTAAGAAAAACAACACAAATTAAAAGAGCTAATCACAAGATGAAATACTTAGGAACAAATCTAACTAGAAACACAAAACAACTAAATGACAAAACCTTACTGCAAGAAACAACAAAAGACAGAAATGGAAGAATGTATGTTCATGGACAGGAAGACTCAATAATGTGAAAAGGACAATTCTACAAAAAGCAATTAACAAGTTTAATGCAATTCCAGTATAGATACTAATTCCACTTTTCAATGAGATAGAAAATGCAATTTCCAACTTTCTCTGGAATAGAAAGAGATCCTGAATAAGAAAAGTACTACTGAAAAAGAGAAACAAGGTAGAAACCATTCAGTTTCTGATCTCCAATCCTATTACACAGCCATGATGGTCAAGACAGCATGGTACTGGTATAGTGACAAAAATATTAATGGAATAGAGCCAAGAATTCAGCTCATCTACCTATGGTCAACTGATTTTGGACAAAGAGACAAAATCAGTTAAGTGGGGAAATGATAGCTTCTTTAACAAAGGGTGTTGGCAAAAATTGGAAAACCATTTGAAGAAAATTTAAGCAAGACACACCTAACAAAAATTAACTCAAGATGAATCATGGACCTAGCAGTAAAACCAAAACCTAGAAAATTCATCAGAGAAAAAAAACTAGGAACAACTCTAGATGCCCTGATCTATGGCATGAACAGACTTTCATACACAACAAAAATCTGACACCTGAGAGGAGAAAATAAATGAATGGGGCCTTCTAAAATTCAAACCCCTACGAACATTCAAAAATTTCTCTTACAGGGTAAAAGGAAACCCATAGACAGGGAAAATACTTGGCAATGACTTATCTGATAAGGGACTCTAAAATGTATAGAATACTCTAGAACCTCACCAAGAAAAAGGCAAACAATGTTGTCACAAACCAGGCACAAGATATGACTAGAATCTTCACCCAAGAAGACATTCAGATGTATTATCTAATTATTTCTTTCTGACTCACAGCTATCCTATTACCCCAAATCTCAATCAAGGCTTCAATGCTCTCAAATCCTTCCTACTCCCAATACTGTTTTACCATACAAATAGCACTATCACCTCTTCTCAGAGTTGTTATCTATTTTTACTGCACTTTAAACTTTTTCCTTTTGTTCAAATGGAAGCCTGATTTTTCCTAACAAACTTCAAGACCAATTAGTAAACTCTTGTTTGTTTTATAACCTTCATAGCAAAAAACAAGGCAAATGAATAAAAACAGTGATAATCTTTTCACTTTTCTCATCTTTCTTTTTATAAAGCAATAATTAAGATACCTCTCACATAAAATCACAATAAAATAAATCAACAAGAAGTGGTGAAGTCTGGAGGGAGATGTGCTGCCAATTTAAAAGTAAGTGGTTTGAATCCACAAGCAGTTCCCCCAAACAAGGATGGGGAATTTCCTCCTGGGCAATTTGTAGCCTTTGCAATCTACTGCGGGGTCAGACCTGAACCAATTCCAATTAAATGGCAATTAAGGTTTTTTTAGCACCACCACCAAAAAATGTTACGCATCAACCAAAAAAAGGCAATGGGGAGAATGAACCTTCTTTTGACTTGAATCTAACTGCATTCCTGAAATACCTAATGTTATGCTATGACCAAAGCAAGTAGATAAATAAATGCAATGTACGTTAGCTTTTTTCATGCATGGCTTCTGGGAACCTTTAATACTTTGGGAATATAAAATGAAACCTTTCCTCAACTTATTTGGCCACAGAACCTGTCTCTGAAATATTTATGTAAAAACTGAGCAACAGCAATAAAATACACTGTTTTAGAAAATATTCAAGATCATTTCTAGCAATGGTTATCTTGGAGAACGAGATCTGTTATCAGTAATTAAAAAGAATTAAAGATGCATCGGAGTTTTTCAGCCCAAATACTTTATTATTTAATAAAATTATGAGGTTATCAAAATGACTATAATTACATGAATCTTACTATTTAATTAAATAAAAGTACAGTCAATTACATAATAAATTTTAACTCACCACATTTTACATACTGAGATATAAAGGTTTATGCAATAAGACACAACAGAAAGGGACAGTATGTGTTGATTTCTTTTCTGTAAGAGCCTTTTCTCCCCTCTTATATAAAGCTATAAAATTATTTCCTCCAAAGGCTTGCTCGATGATATTAGTGTTTTAGTTATTATTCCTGATCTATGGATTTGAATGAACATTAATCCTTTCTTCTTTTTTTACTTCACAAGATAGAAATGCAATTCTCACTTCCCCACTACTTGTTATGTGCCGTTGAGTCGCCTGGGACTCATAGCAACTCTGCACAACAGCCCCAAACCCTGATCTATCCTGTGCCAATCTCACTGCCTCCGACACACTCACCTCCATTACACCAGTCACAATTAATCTCATCAAGGGTCTTCCTCTCCTGTGCTGTCTCTCCACCCTCCCAAGCAAGACGTTCTATCTAAGGACTGGTCCCTTCTTGCAACATATCAAAGGCATGTCAGACAAAGCTTCAGAATCCTTGCCTCCAAGGAGCATCCTGGTTTCACCCTCTGTAGGATGAACTTGTTTGTTCTCTTAGCAGTCCATGGTATATTCAATACTATTCTCCAACACCACAGCTCAAAGGCATCAATTCTCCTTCTATCTTCCCTAATCACTGTCCAACTCTCTGATGCATAGCAAATGATTGTAAAGACCATGGACTGTACCAGGCACACCTCAGTCTTCAGACAGACATCATTGCTCTTCAGTACTTTGGAGAGCAACTCTGATAGCAGACTTTCTCAATGCAATTTTTCGTTTAATTTCCTGGCTGCTGGTGCTAAGAGTGTTGATTGTGGAGCCAAGCAAACTAAAGCTGTTAAAAAAATCCAATCTCTACCATCGATCATGATGCTGTCAATTGGCGCAGTGGTGAGAATCTTTGTTCCCACTACTTACAATAAGTAATTTTTAAGTTTTGTCACATTTGCTTCAAGCTTACACACCCCTTCCCCTGATAAATAATATAGCAGTGAATAACAAACATTCCTGCCATTTACTTAAGAAGTAGTTATTAAGTACCTACTCTGGGCTAAGCAGTGGATACTGAATGATGAGTAAAACAGCCATAAGAACTGCTGTTATGTTATAAATGATTATACATTTTAATGGTTGTACATTTATACAATGAATTTTTACTCTGCTGATGCTTTAAAAAAAGCAAATGTCAAATAAAATCCGGATAGAAGAAAATATTATGTAGAACTTTATTAGAAAAGACAAATTATTGTACTTCTATACTTTTTTTGCACTTGGATTCATTCTTTAAGCTACTTGTTGGGAGGCTTTATAATATTTTGTTTTGACTTGTTACATACCAGTTAGCAATGTCCTTGTGTGCTACTAAATTTTGAAGAAATGCTTGCAATCCTAATTGTCTATTTTCTAAGAAGTCGGCATTATAATTATCTTTAAACCAGCGTTTTGGTGGAAGTGCTAATCGAAAGCCTGGAAACATCTCTTTTAACTGAAAAAGAAAAGAAAACACAATGTTCAATTCAATTATATCAACCTACGAAAGAAATTTGTCCTGTTTATGTGAAATTATTCATGACAGGTTAAAAAAATTAAATTCAGCTCAGTTGTGTGTTTTTTTTTTGTGATTGTTACTTATGAGAGACTAAATTCCAGCTGCTCATCAACCTTGCCAACCTCTGGCATTGCTGGTCTTTTTAATGTTAACAATTCTAGTGAGCAGGGAGCTCTGTTGTCTGTAGCAAGTTGTGCTAACCTAAAGGTCTCAAGTCTTTGGCAGTTTGAATCCACCAGCAGCACTAAGGGAGAAATGGGAAGTCTCTTCCTGCGACAACTTACAGCCTTCAAAATCTGATGGAGGATCGCAAAGAGTCAAAACAGACAGTGAGATGAGTTGAGTTTTAGTGTATGTGTAGCAGAAACGCATTAGTGTTAGGATGCACTGCTCTGTTGACAAGTGATGTCTGAATATCTTTTCATTACCTTATGTACATTTCTGTATCTTATATTAGGAATTATCTATTCAAATCTTATGAGTCTTCCGATTTTGAATACCAGGTTGTCTTATTGATTTTTAAGAGTCCTTATAATTTTAGATAAAAATTCTTTGAGAATATGCAAATATTTTTCCAGCCAGAATAGGCCTTGACTTTTCATTTTCTTTTTTTGCTGGACAAAACCCAAAAAATTTAACTTAAAATTAAATTTTCTATCTTTATACTGACTTTTCAGAGCATTTTCCCCCTTTGGTTTGTGCTTTATAAAAATCCTATCTAAGAAATATTTCACTGCAAGGTTACAAAGATATTCTTTTATAATATTTTTGTTTCACATTTCAGTCTACTCTACATTTTGCATGTTAGGATTAAATTCTACTATCTTACAGGAAATTCAGCAGTCAGATTTTGCTTCTATCATCTAGCAAGAAATGCAAACATTTTAACTGTGGCCTTTCTCTTAGGGCTCCTCTTGTTAAACCTTGCCACAGTTTCTCCACAGTCTCTTCACCACCATCACCAAAGATTTGCTCTAGTCTCCGTCAAGTTTTGCTGTTCAGTGTGGGAAGCACTCTACACTCACACTCTCACTATCTCTCTCATCCTACCTATTCCCACAACAGTTGATGATTTGCAAGACCATGTGTCTGCAATTAAGGTAGCTGGAGACCAGAGGGGGATATAATGGTTAGAAAAGGCAACTTTTAAGGTTATACGACACTTGCCTTTGGGTTAGGAGCATAACTCCTTACCAATAATGTAGCAGAACTCTCTAATCTTATCCCATTAGCCCTTTGAAAGTACAAAGGTTTTTTTTCTGGATGATGCAAGAAGAAAAAGTCAGAGAGACTCAAATCACAAGAAAGATTTGATATGCCATGACTTTAAATATGAAGAAGCCAAGTGGAAAGACTCCAGAGCAATCTCCAGGAGCGAATAGCAACCTTTGGCTGACAGCCAGTAAAGAAATAGAGACCTTGATTCTACAACTTCAAGGAAATGAGTTCTGCCAACAACCTGAATGAGCTTGGAAAATGATTCTTCCCCAGAGCCTCTAGTAAGTGCCAAGTTGGGCCAACAGCTTGATTTTGACCTTGTGAGACCCCAGGTGAGTCAACTGGAACAAGGGGACAATAAAGGAAACATAAATTGGTTTTAGTTACTAAGTTTGTGATCATTTGTTTGACAGCCATATAAAAGTAGCACAACTACAAATATTTTTCATTTATTCTCACATCATGATTTGAAAAATCTTACTATACATGTATCTACAAACCTACACAAAAACAGCTGAGCTCAAACAATTAACAGAAGACACACCTTTAAGGGACAGATAATAATTCCAAATTGTAAAGTCAGTTTTTGATTGAAAAAAATTTTACTCTGTCATTAAGTTTTTAAAAAAACCCAACAACCAAAACTTACTTTGTCATTAAGTCTAGAGAAGTCAGTGTATCTTCTAAAAACTACCCAGCTTTCTTCTGGGGTTTTCTTTACTAGTATTTTGTAAACCTAAGCAGAGAGAAGGGGGGGAAGAAACAACAAAAAATATTTAAAAATGCAAACAAAATTTTTAAAAGTCTTACTTGGCAATTCAAATTTTTAGTTTAATGACATTTGTTTTAAGTATATAACTGTAAGGGTTAGTGCTGAGATACTTTTGAGTATTCACTATTAGTTGCTATTGCTCATTGTCACTGAGGCAGAATCAACTCACAGTTGTGCCTCCAGCAGGTTTTCAGAGGCTCATCTTTCTCCTGCAGAGCAAGTTGGTAGATTCAAACCAATTTTGGACTGGCAGCACAACTCCTTAACCAGTGGGTCACTTAAGCTTCCTATTAGGGATGCATTAAATATTTAACTTCAACAATTTTATATCCCAACTTTTGCATTCCAGTCACTCATTAATATTAATGCATCAGGATCAGTAGTTGGAAAACATGGACTCGGTGACAGAAACGAAGCTGGAGATAGAATGACTGAATTTTGCACAATCAACGATATTCACTGGAAATACATTTTATAAGAAAAATAAATGGAGGTTATACACATGGATTCCACCTGATGATAAGCATAGGAATCAGATTGATTACATCTGTGGAAAGAACCGCTGGAGAAGCTCAGTATCAGCTGTAAAACTAGGCCTGGTGCTGATTGTGGAACAGACCACCAACTACTCATATGCAAGTTCAAGTTGAAGTTAAGAAAAATTAAATCAAATCCACAGGAACAAAAAAATATGACCTTGAGTCTATCTCACCTGAATTTCAGAACCATCTCAGGAACAGGTTTGAGGCCTTGAACATCAATTAGCAAAGACCAGATGAGTTGTGGGAAGATATCAAGAGTATCATCCAGGAAGAGTGCAAAAGGTCATTACAAAGACAGAGGAAGAAGAAAAGACCAAAATGGATGTCAGAAGAGACTCTGAATATTGCACTGGAGCACTGGGAAGCCAAAGCAGAGGGAAGAATTCAAGATATTAAAGAGCTGAACAGAAGATTTCAAAATGCAGCGCGGGATCACAAAGTAAAATATTACAATGAAACATGCAAGGAGCTGGAGTCAGAAAATCAAAAGTGCTGAACTTGCTAATCATTTAAGCTCAAGGAACTGAAGAACAAATTTAAACCTTGAGTTGCTATATTTAAGGATGCTTTAGGAAGAATATTACATGATCCAGGAATTATTAAAAGAAGATTCCATCAAGTTGTGTCAAGAAATCTGGAGGAAAACCACTTGAACAACTGACTGTAAGAGATCTATATTTGTTCCCAGTCCAAAGAAAGGTGACCCAACAGAGTGTGTAAATTATCAAACAATAGCACTGATATCACATGCAAGCAAGATTCTGCTAGAAATTATGCAAAAATGACTGGAAGAGCACATCAACAGAAAACTGTCAGAAGTCCAGGCTGGGTTTAGAAGGGGTTGTGGTACTAGGGATATTGTAGCTAATGTTAGATGGATCTTGGCTGAAAGCAGGCAGTACCAGAGGAATGTCTGTGTTTCATTGATTATGCAAAGGCATTTGACTGTGTGGATCATGACAAACTGTGTCTAACTCTAAGAAAAATGGGAATCCCAGAACACTTGATCATGCTAATGCGAAACCTATACTGGGACCAGGAGGTAGTCGTCAGAACAGAGCAAGGAAACGCTGCATGGTTCAAAATTTGAAAGTGTGTAAGCCAGGGATGTGTTCCTATCTCCATACCTTTTCAACCTATATGCAGAACAGATTATCTGGGGGGGGTGGGCTGGGCTCTATGAGAAGTGTGGCATCAGGACTGGAGGAAGATCCATCCACAATCTGCACTATGCAGATGACACAACCCTGCTTGCTGAAATTGAGGAGGACTCGAAGCGCTTGCTACAGAAGGTTAAGGACTGCAGCCTTCAATATGGATTGAGGCTCAATATCAAGAAAACAAAGATTCTCATCACTGGGCCAACTGGCATCATCAGGATGGATGGTGAAGAGACTGACTGAGATTGTTAACAGCTTTAGTTTGCTTATCTCCACAGTCAACATTCTTGGCACCAGCAGTCAAGAAATTAAGACATATTGCAATGGGAAAGTCTGCTGTTAGGGACCTCTCTATAAAGTACTGAAGAGCAATGGTGTCTCTCTGGAGACAAAGGAGCGCCTGATACAGGCCATGGTCTTTGCAATCACTTGTTATGCATCAGAGAGTTGGACAATGACTAAGGAGGATAGAAGGAAAATTGATGCCTTTGAGTGATGTGTTGGAGAAGAGTATTGAATATACAATGACTGCTAAGAAAACGAACAAGTTCATTCTGGAGAAGGTTAAATCAGGCTGCTCCTTGAAGGCAAAAATTCTGAAGCTTCGTCTGACATACTTTGGACACATTGCAAAGAGGGACCAGTCCTTGGAGAAGGACGTCATGCTTGGGAGGGTGGAGGGACAGCACAGAAGAGGAAGATCCTCTATGAGGTGGACTGATTCAGTGACTGGGGTAATTGGGGTAGGTGTGTCAGAGACAGTGAAATTGGTACAAGATAGAGCAGGGTTTATGGCTGTTGTACATAGATCGCTATGAGTTGCAGGCAACTAGATGGCACATAACAACAACAACAACAACAACAACAGTAATTTTATATGAACATCTATAAAAGCTATTTACTCTTAAAGACATGATGAACCTTTTGTGGGATTTATAACCCCTGGAAACCTGATGGCAGGTCAACTGCGACTCCATGGCAATGGTGTTTGATTTTTAAAGTAGGATTTAAATAATATATCACTTAGATTAAAAGACATACATAAAAGATGGTAAAATATTGTGCATGAAAATGACACAAAGTGCTTTTTTCAGTGCACACTATTAACAATGAACACACCAACTTCCAAAATATTCTTTATGGCTCATATTCTTAATTGACGTGATATGCTTGGTGAACCTGTGAAAAATAGCCACACTTTTCCAGCAAGGGAGCTCTGATGGTGTAAACAGTTGGAGCTGCACCGCTAACTCAAATGCCAAGTCTCTCAACCAGTCTGAATCCACCAGTAGTTTGAATCTACAGCCATTCCTTGGAAGATGGGTACCTTCCTCCCATTCACATTAGAACCTCCACGGGAAGGTAAATTATGGGTCGGTTCGATTCAGACTTGATAGCAGCGAGTGGTTCTTGTCTTACATAATTTAATTCACAACTCAAAAAGGAAAGTTTTTAATTTTGTTCAATGTTGGTTTACTTTTCAAGTTTGAATAAAGTTTCCATGCTAAAAAAACTTTACATTTTTGCAATTAAGCATAACTTGTTGGTACTGAATGGAAAAAATCTGGCAGAGGCAAGTCAAAACATTTTAAAAAGCATATTAATAAGAAAACCTGGAAACATTTCCTAGAAGGCTTTGATGAAGTATTTGGGGATATGGCATAGATAAGATACTCAATAAATAGCTGCTGAATGAGTGAAACTCTATTAGAAAGAGTAACCTCTTTTTTTGTAGTTGACTCTGCAATCATTTTCGGTTCTCTATGGCTAGTCCAAATTGAGATGTGCAATGAGTGTAAAGTCACTGGATTTCAAAGACTTAGTAAGAAAAGAAGTATAAGATTTGGATGGCGGGGAAGAAGAACAAACTGGGGAGGAGGGTAGAGAGAATGGTGCAGCAATGAAGGAATGAAAACCCAAAATCCCTGTAAATGTTCATTAAAACTAATAAAATTTAATTAAAAAAAAAAAAAGTTGGACATAGACTAAGGATGACAGAAGAATTGATGTCTTCAAGTTGTGTTATCAGAGAAGAGTACTGAATATCCTATGGATGGCCAAAAGAGCAAATATGTCTTGGAGAAGGGGCAACCAGGGTGTTCCTTGGAAACAAAAGGATAGTAAAACTTCATCTCACATACCTTGGACATGTTGTTGTGAGGAGAGGCCCATCCTTAGAAAAGGACATTGTGCTTCAGAGCTGTAGGGTCAATGAAAGAGAGGAAGACCCTCAAGGAGATGGACTGATGGAGTGACTGTAGCAGTACTGTGGCCTTGGGTGTATCAAGGATTGCAAGGATGGCACAGGACAGATTAGGGTTCAGGCGTGTTATTCATGAGTCATGATCGACTTGATACCAAACAACAACAACAACAACAACAACATTCAACATTTTGCATTTAGAGTAGTAAAAAAACCCATCCACTATGTGACTATTTTGTGCATTATCAAGGCTGTGCCAAGAAATCTGGAGGACAACCACCTGGCCAACTGACTGATAAAGATCCATATTTATTCCTATTAAAAAAAAAAAGGTGACCCAACAGAGTATGGTAATTATCATAATATATCACTCATATCAAAATATCAAGCAGAATAATCCTGCTGAAGATGATCCAGAAATGTCTTGAACAGTACATTGACAGAGAACTACCAGAAATACAAGCTGGGTTTAGAAGAGGCCATGGCATTAGAGGCATTACTGCCAACATCCAATTGAGCTTTTCAGAAAGTAAAGGGTACCAGAAGAATATCTATTGGTGTTACATTGACTATACAAAGGCATTTGACTGTATTGATCACAATAAATTGTTGTTTAGAGGAGAAAAAAAAAAGATTATGTAATTAAAACTGTTTTATATTGATTAAATGTTGAAATAATGTTAAATAAAATATAAAATTATGTTTACCTAGTTTTTCTTTTTTAAAAACTATAGTTTCTAGAATATTTAAAATTACAAAGATCTCACATGTGTGGTTCATTTTTTATTTCTTATGAATAGTGCTGTTCTCCGAAACCCCTTTAGGGACCATAGAATCATCCTTCCAATTTTTCTTCCCTACGGACTTCTTTTTCACATTTGGATAGGGAGAGTCAGTAAAGAGTAAGAATAGATCCTGTAGCTTTGAAGTAAAAAGTCATTTCTCTTTGTAACACATAAAGGCAAGAAACAAGATTATCTAGATACCCTTTAAAGTCTGCAGAAAGAAGACTTCAAAATACCATTCTTTTAGAAGTTGTTAATGTTTTTAAAAAGATAA